TGAGGTCCACATGTGGTTCCCAGGGACCCATCACACAAAGTGATGGCATGGACAATGACTGACATAGGTCCAAGTCAGAAACCATCCCTTTGGCTTTCTCAGCATGCACTTCATTAGGAAACAAAGCATACAGAAGATGTGGACATGCAATATTTTATAAAAGGAAATGTATACAGATTTTTATTCTAACAATTCCAATCTTATTTAGCCCATTTTAACTCTGGTTTCCAGCAAGCCAAAATATCTATAATCCTGACATTACCAAGGGAAAAAACTAGTGCCAAAGAATGACAATCTATTTATACATTGTAGTGACCAGGTTCTCTTCTTCTTTTCCAGCCGCTTCGATGTCATCACTTCAAGGACACATTGCTTTTAATTTCAGCCAGAAATCTTAGAATTTTCTGGTCTTTGGGATAGTAGCCAGCTTTCTTGACCTGTATCATGTTTAGCCTGGTAAAACAGGGCTGTTTCTAATCAAGTTCAAATGAAAGCCTGGCTCCACTGTGGGGCCTAAGGAGGAGAGAAATGGGCTCTTAGACAGAGCTCCTCTCAACTCCAGGAGTCCTCAAAGCAGTTTCAAATTTCTTTGAGTCAAAGTAGGAAGGTTCAGAATCAGTCTGAAATCAAGGGTCAGGGTTGTCCTTTAACCCTGCATACGAAATCAATTTTCATATAAACACAATTTACTTCCTACTCCTCTTGGGGGTGTCTAGATATTATAATGAGATTTCATGTATGGATTATCCTTTTTCCCATCTACAGCAATCTTTCTTGAAACTGACTGCACCATCAAATTATCTGGAACAGTTTTGAAAAAAACAGATTCCAGGGCTCCTTACTTAGGTCACTGAATCCAAATTTCCTGGAATGAGGCCTGAGAATCTTTATTTTTAAAAAGCTTCCTAGGTGATTCTAATGCCCAGGGTTTAATATTCTAGTTACATTTTTCCTTCCTTCCTCCCTGCCTCTGTCCCTTCCTTCCTTCTTTTTTTTCCTTCCTGTCGGACTGCCTTCAAAATCTAAGCACCACATACAGTAGTTCTGGAAAAGAAATATTCTCCGTTGCAAGTCAACCACCAATTTATAAACAACCTTTTGGGAGAAAACATATCTGTAAACCTGCAACTTCTTGAACAACTGCCAGTACTGTGAAGAATCTTAATAGTTAGAAAGGTGATGTTCTTTCTTCTTGAGCATATCTAGGAAAACAGACATGTGTGTAAGTGCAAATCTGCATGCTTTATTTGAAATCTTTTCTATCTTCAGAGTGGCCCAGACATAAAGAATTACGACATGGCCAGATCCTATTCAAAATTTGAAGTTCTGAGTTAGAGTGCTATTACCTTTTCCTTTTCTAAACTAAATGACCCAAATTTCCTTTACTCTTTCCTTGTAGAAATTTTCCCTGTTCTTTGATTACTATTTTCTATTCCTCCTTCAGTTTATTCAAGCTACTCTTGGTTCAACAAAAAAAACTAAAATACCTTCAGGACACAATTGTGCTAACATACTTTATAGTTGGAAAATAGTTCATGCATCTGCTTAGGAAAACTGAATTTATTTCTAGGTAGTGACTTAGACCAATGGGCCCAAATCTAAAGATCTACAGATTAATGTTTTGCTTCAAATGAAGAAGGTTACCTTTAGAATTCCTTTTTTAGTGTCTCTGCTGCATCTGATCTGTAAGTAGTTTCTGGGATTCCTCTTATATAAAGATCAGATTCTAAATTTTATCTAGAAATCACTCACATTTTCTCTTCTTCCTTTCTCTCTGCATTCTTGCATTGTTTTAGTTTGCCTTCTTTCTTATTAGATGATTTTTCTGTAGTTTCCCTAATGCTGACTCATTTTCTGGAATGCCTGCAGTTTTCAGTTCAACAATCATGCTCCAGGGAGACTGAATTATTTGCCCCCACTCTTCACCTTTCCCTGATCTCTATTTCTTCCACCAGAGGTTGGCTGTCTGTCCCCTTCCTTGGTTTTGAAGTTATCGACTTGCTTTGACTAGTGGCTTATGGGCAGTTCAGAGCGTAGGCCCTGTTTCCGACCAGTCCTCTTGTACCTCTGCCATTGCCAGAAAGAGACAATGTTGTGGTTAGCCCATTAGTTCAGGGAAAATAAAAATGGACTCACCCTATCTGCAGCTTAGAGTCACTTAGGCGAGCTCAGTCAAATCAGTAGAGCCCTACCAGCCAAGCCACAGGGACTTTGTAGCAACATAGGATGTTCATATTTAAGTGAAACTTTCCAGTCATTCAAATGACATTCTGTAAGAGAGAACTCAACTATGCTCCATTACAGGGAACTGTCTTAGGTGACTGAGTATCCTTTATGGGAGGAGGGAGAACAGCTTCTTTCTTCCCTTGGGACTGGAGATTAAAGATGCTCAATGTTGTAGACAATGCCAGTAAGATGAGAAGCAGAAATTGACTGTCAGGGAAGAAAGAAACTCCTCCCTCGGGAGGCCCTGAGGAAGAAACGATGTCCACAGAAGCCCTGTTCCTACAAAAAGCAGCTCTGGGGAGTACAGCTCATCCCAGCACACGTACAGTGCCCAGGTGGCCAATGCCTGGCAAAGCCATGACAGGCAGAAGAAATGTCCCCTGAATCCAGTCCTCACCACCCACCCCTTTAAGCTATTATGATTTCTTTCTTCTGGCTTGGCAATATAGCCCTTAAAGGGGCTCACAGAGATTGCCTGCACACATTGAGTGAGTTCTTTATTCTCTTGACTCAAAGGATAAAAAAGAGACTTTCTTTACCTTTCTGAGTAAGGTCATGCCTGCCTGAATGATAAAACAACACCTAAATCTCACCCTTCACTCCAACAGTTTTAGCCAAAACCCAGTGTAAGAGTCTAGCATGCACATGTAAGGGCTCATCCTGCAGGTGAGAGATAGCTCCATTTGGACCATGACAGCAACATATTTGCATTAAAGCCAGGTGAAACTGCCAATGTGGTTGGAAAAATACACTTTCCAATGCCATTTAAGAAAAATAGAAAAAGTCACGTAACGAATTTTATCCTATTTTCCAAATTCTTTTTTCCTTCTGCCTATAACTCTTCTCTCTCTCTTTATATAGATACACACACACATATGTATATTTGTATATATCATATATATGTATATATGCATACATCTATATATATGTACACACACACACACATATGATATAAAGGGCTGGTAAGAGGTTACATATATATATACTTACACTCTACAAACTTTTTCTTTACTGGTTTCCTCCACAAGCAAAGTTTTGCCAAGCTGCTTTGAGAGTTCTTTAGAGACACTAGTACCTAAGCAAACAGGAGCACAGGCTGCAGGGGTTCTCAAACTTTTAAAACAGGGGGCCAGTTCACTGTCCCTCAGACCGTTGGAGGAGTGGACTATAGTTTAAAAAAAACTATGAACAAAT